AGAATAAAAACAAGATTGTGAACTAATATATTCCTCTAACAAATCAAGAGCCTCTTTTCTGAATCAAAATATGATTGAAATCGCACATGTTTGGGTTGTGTGCAACAAATCGAATTATTCTTGATCTGCATGCAAGGCTTCCTGACAGTTTGAACCCCAAAGCTGGACAAAAGATGCATTTTAATGTTTTGGCTCTGAATTAACACATCAGGTCAATGGGGAGTTGGACTATGAGGGAAATATCTCAACAGGCTAAAACAAAACACCTAAAGCAATTTTGCTGTTGTTATTAGCTACTGTCACAGTTATGTTCAGTTTGTCTTAGTTTTCATGGACTCTTAGTTTGTTTTCGTTCATCACGTGTTCCTTTTTTGAGCTCCTGCCAATCATCTGTTTCCGTGGACACCAGTCATTACAGCTGATCATCATTTAGTTCGTCACCACCATGTATTTAGTTCCTCCCTATTGACTCTGTGTTTGTTGGTTGTTGTTTGTGTAGATGTTTACACACTGTTATGCCTTATCACCTCCTTGTGGATTAAACTGTCGTTAGTATTTTTGAACCTGTCTTCATCTTCATCATCTGATGACAGAACAACCGGCCTAAAATGGATTATGCAGAGTGATTTTCATGAGAACCGGGACTTTTTAACTTTCACTGAAAGATTCTGCGTTCTTGCTTTGACGATGAGACCCTGAAGTCAATGTTCAGGATCAGGGCTAATTACCATCACCTCGTGGACCTCGTGGACCTCCCAGACACCTCTGGATTTAACTGAAGGGATGCTATCATCTGGTCTCTGGAGAGAGTTTACCCCCGGTCCAGAGCCTGTTTCACCACCACTGACCACAGAGGAATCGTGTGAGACCCCCGCAGACAGAGAGCTACCACCCGCTGCGACGTGTCAGCCAGTGCCCGAAGATAAAAGGCCAGCGCAGACCCTCATCCCGGAAGAGGAGCTCCCCAGTGTGTCTGACCCAAGGGGTGTGAGCCCACGATATCAGTGGCTGAGGGTATATTGGTGGAACTTGAGACTGTGGACTGGCTGATGGATTCCAGCGCGGAGGTATCGTCCACAAACCCTATGCCACCCCATTGCTTGTTTTTAGACTGTTTTACTGTATGAACTCTTTATCTGTTTCCTCTGGACATTCATTGCTGTTTTTAGACAGCACAGACACCTGCATGGACAATGTATTGTTACCTTCGACCCTGTCTAATCTACATCCGCCTCTGTTACCACTCTGCTCAGCCAGTCCTCCAGCCCCGCCTCCGCTGGAGTTTTGCAGCCCTTCGCCATCTCCTGTTATGCCAAGCAGTGACGTCAAGCCTCAGGTTCTGCAACCACCATCAGTGCCCAAGCGGATAGATCCTGTAGCTCCCCTTCTGATCACCTTGGCCCGTCAACCTGTTGGCTCCTCCCTCCGTCAGCTCTACCAGACACCCTCGGCCTTACGGCTTCACCAGGTTCCCTTGTCCCACAGGCTCCCTCTTGGTCAGTCGTCACCCCACCTCTGCCATGGACTTGCGGATCTTCCGCTATGCTCCATTCCTCCACCCCTACGGCTGCAGCGTGCTCCTCTTTCTCTTCGTGTACACCTCAGTCCTCCATCACACCGGCGTCGCCTCAGGCAGTCTGGCTCCACCTCTGACGATCGTCACCGCAGCATCGCCTAGGCCTCCTGTGCCAACGATGTCGCTCTGTTCCATCGACGCTCCGTCTGCACCCTGGGATCTATCCTCCCTCACTCATCTCCACTGTGGATTGTCATCTCTGGGTCTGTGCCATCGGACATTCACCATCACCGCTGGGGTCTCATCGTCATTCATCTGTCACCCCCTCCTCCGTCGCCGCTGACCACCATCATCCCTTCGCTGTCCCGTTACCATCCCTGCTCCACTCCTTTGTCCACCTCCAAAAAAACCCCTTCGTCCCTCCCTTTGTTTTGTTACGGCGCGAGGCCACACCTGGCCGGAGGGGGGAGTACTGTCACAGTTATGTTCCGTTTGCCTTAGTTTTCATGTACTCTTAGTTTGTTTTCATTCATCACATGTGTTCCTTTGTTTGAGTTCCCACCAATCATCTGTTTTCATGGACACTAACCAGTCATCACAGCTTATCATAGTTCATCACCACCATGTATTTAGTTCCTCCCTATTCACTCTGTGTTTGTCTTTTGTTTGTGTAGATGTTTACACACTGTTATGCCTTATCGCCTGCTTGTGGATTAAACCGTCGTTAGTATTTTTGAACCTGCCTTCGTCTGTCTTAATCTTCATCATCTGGTGACAGCTACATTATCATATCATGCTTCAATAGAATATAATTGACATTAGCAGCATGTTTTGGATACTTGTGATTGATATTTTTAGCAGAACAGTGGCTGCAGCACAACTAAACTTTAGCACTTAAAGGACACTTCTTTACTTCTAATAATTAACTTGCAGGGATAACTGTCCTATTAGGCAGGGAATCAGCCAGCTGAATGTTTTGCTGTCAAGTCACATAGTAATTCTGCTCATCAGTGTAAAAACAATTGGAAACTGAATATTATCTATGCATTTGTCCATGCTGAACGTGTTTGCATAGAGTGCATTCTCTAACATTCAGTTACTTATCACTGTGGTTCACCCCAGCAATTAATTTAGCCCAAACATTATAGACTTCATTCAAACTTTTGTCTAATTTCAGCCTTAAAGGGATATTAAAAGGATATTAAAAGCCTTAAAAGGGACATTTTCAAACTTTAATTTTTAATTTTCTTAAAGTAAACAACCACTTAAAGGTGTAGTTCACCTAAAAAAATGAAAATTATATAATTTACTTACCCTTGTTCCAAAGTTTATCCAAACCTGTATGAGTTTCTTTCTTCTGTTAAACACAAAAGATATTTTGAAGAATGTGGGTAACCAAACAGTTGCTGGCCCCCATTGACTTCCATAGTATGAAAAAAAAAATACTATGGAAGTCAATGGCTAGCAACTGCTTGGTTACCAACATTTTTCAAATATCCTTTGTGTTTAACAGAAGAAAGAAACTCATACAGGTTTGGATAAACTTTGGAACAAGTAAATGATATAATTTTCATTTTTTTAGGTGAACTACACCTTTAAGTGGTTGTTTACTTTAAGAAAATTAAAAATTAAAGTTTGAAAATGTCCCTTTTGACTTAAATAACAGAACGTTAAAAAAAGTCATCATGCATACTGGATAATTATAGTCCCCCATGTAGAGCCTATAATATTTCTTCTCAATATGCCCAATCTGTCTACTCAATCAAAATATTGTAAATGGGTGAATTAAAACATTAACATGCAAAATTAATTCAGTTAATGCTTTTTATACAATGTCCAATGTGTTCTTAAGATACTGTAGGGGTCAATGGAGTCGTTCCTTTAAGGAGTAAGGATTAAGAAAGGTTTTGTCATTTAATTAACCATGATATATAAAATAATAGAAGAAAAAATATTTTTTTAAATAAATAAATGGAAAAATAAAAATTTGATATGGCCCATGTATGATACTGTGAAACCATGGAGCTCATACTCAAGGGAAAAAAATCAATTTTATTCAGAAGCTGAACAAACTGAGCAAAAATACGCCATTTGGTGCAGCTGCTATTTATATGGCCAAAAAGTAAGATGAATATATGTTATTATTGTAATGTAAATCAAAGAGATCTTTAACAGTAAAACTGACTACTCTGTTCCTCAAAAGCCTGCACTCTAAAAAATGCTGGGTTAAATACAACTCAGTGCTGGGTAAAATAGGGACAAACCCAGCAATTGGGCTGTTTTGACCCAGCGGTTGGGTTAAATGTTTAACCCAACGTTCTGGGTAGTAACCCAACCGCTGGGTCAAAACAACCCAATTGCTGGGTTTATCCCTATTTTACCCAGCACTGGGTTGTATTTAACCCAGCATTTTGTAGAGTGTGATGGGTCATATTTGAAACTCATACTTTAACATGATGTTTCTAAAAAAGTACGTACACTGTAAACCCCAATGTTGTCATTAATAAAGAAATCAAGTTATCATAACTTAACATTACTTAAAATGCCAAGTTTTGGTGTCAAAAACTAAACAGGTATGTTTAATTAACTCATTTGGGAGCAAAAATCTTTCGAATTAAGTTTTTAAGTGTAATGAACTCAAAATTTCAATTTATTTAAATTTTGCTCTATGTCTCTGTTTAATATGATTGGTCGTGTTTGAAATTCTGCCTTGACAAACGCGCTGATTGGTCGATATAACACAAGGCGGTAAATTTTGGTCGTTGTGAATTTGCTGAAGCAGCGGTCCAGACTGATGAAAATCAAACGTTAAATTGGTAAGTAGAGAATAAAACGCATATATACACTTTTCTTAATTACCTTTAAGTTTTATAAAGGTTTTTAATTAATAAGTTTCATTGTAATGTTATTTGAAAAATATAATTGCAAATTTCAAGTAAACCTAAGTTGCTTCAGTCAAGTGTTCATCTTGAAACATTACTCTAAAAAAGCTATTCTTATGTTTAATTGATAAAAATCTTTTTATTATTTTTAAGAATTATATCAAGAGGCCTTTTACATAATAAAAAAAAGTTTAGAAGATGTTTTTCTTGATCATTTTAAGGCCTTAGAAAGTCATGTATTAAATATTACATAGTAGCCTAGGCTTTCCTATAGGGTTACGTTTACAAAAGTTTATTTATTTTTACTGCATCTATCTGCTGTGCGACCACATTTCATCTCTGGAAAACAACGTTTTGTTGTGACTTCTACATTGCAACACATGATTCCAAATAGCCTAACTCAAGGGAAAAATATTCCATTAGTCAAATATTCTAAATAAAACAACAAGTGGGTTTATTAGCGCCATTTCCCCAAGAGTTTCATAATAAGTGTCCTCGAAAAACACGACGACTAGCCTTCTCCGTTCAGAAATGGGCCACCTGTGATAACAATGTGACAATTAAGGCCCTTCAACAGGGTGGCATCATGTGACTGAGCTTGATTTGCTACAGGTGTTCATCTTTCCTGGAGCGTCTGCCATGTAGATTCTGTTTGCATACAGTTGGTCTTTGTTAAAACTATCTGTAACATTTGAAAAATAAGGATTTTTCAAATAGCCATGGGTCATTGGTGGAAATGCGCCATGATGTCCGGCATAAACAACCTTTCCATTCCGTCAACAGATGTGGACTTGAATGTCACGGATCTACAGAGGGCACTGGAGGCTCACCGCCCCGTTAAAATTGGGATTATATCGGTTTTGGGAGTGATGATAACTTTGGGAAACATTGCTGTGGTGATGGTCATAGCTTCAGCGGTATCGGGATGGTCGAGAAACTCTCTGTACTTTATTTTATCGTTAACGGGAGCTGACTCGGCATTTGAGCTGCTTATCATGCCGCTCAATCTGTGTGTGAGTTTCATGAAAGAATATAACGGGGGCCCGGACCCCTTCTGTCACGTCGTAGCATTTTTCAACGCAACTATTTATTCCACCCGCATGTACACCCTTGCAACCATAAGCCTGGAACGATACATAGCAGTGTTTTACCCTCTGAAGTACTCCACCGTGCTGACCAGGAGAAGAGCGCTGCTTCTGATCGCGTTCGCGTGGGGTTTCCCTCCCGTTCTCCTCATTCCCATCTCGTTCCCGGCGGGCATCATTGAAGTGCAGTTCTCCAGAGCCTCGCTCGTGTGCAACCCGCTGTACTCCAGCAATGTCTCTTACTCTCTGTCTCTGACGTGCTTCATCTTCTTCCCGTGCACGGCCATCATGACCTTCTGTAACCTCCGACTGTGGATAGCCGCGAAGAGACAGAGGTTGAAGTTGAGTAGACACAGCTGGGGTGGAGGATACAGGCCTAAAGTCACCTTGCGTGTTCTAGTACCAGTCATGACCGTTTACTACACCTGCTGGACGCCCTGCATGGTCATCATGCTGTACAATGGTGAGATCATGATTAATAGCCTATCGTTTGTATTCATTCTAGTGTTGTTCCGATCCCAGCGTTGTGTATGGAGCACTAAAAGCAGATGTTTAGCAGAATATCCAAGCTGCCCTTTTTTTTTTAACGGAAGTAAAAAAGTAGACTAGTGGACAGTGATCGAAAGTTGCAAAGCTCCTTTTCAATTTCCCCATATAGCTCCTATTATTGTTTTATTCACCCATATGACCAAATAAATAAATAAAATCAGTCAAATATATTTCACAATATACAAAAAATGGCCAATATATACACTACTGTGCAAAAGTCTTAGGCCACTAGTATTTTCAACAAAACTACTGTTGAACATATAATTTTATTATAACAACAAAAAAATGGTTCAGTTAACTCAGTTATTTCTATTTTTGCTGTAGTGTGTCAGTAGGAATTATCAGTTTACATTTCAGGAATGTTTGGAAATGTAAACTGATATTTCCTGCTGACACACTAAAGCAAAAGATAAAAATAACTGACTTAAAACCTTTTTAGTGTGTGTGAAAATACTAGAATTCTGCACAGTAGTGTAAATATTTGCTAAAATGTTTAAATATATTTACTTAAATGTGTTCTACTAAAGTATATATTTTTGAAAATTTATTTTAAATAATATAAATATCCATATATCAAGTCAAGAAAATTAAAAATGTAGTTATATTTCTTGCTCCTGAAATACAATTTGAAATATATTTTGGTATATGAAGGTTGAAAATGAATATTTTATATTTAAAAATATATATTTAATTGAGCAAAACATTTTTGGACGTTTTTTATGGAAATGCACAGTGTTGAGGAACTTGAAATAAATGAATACGCAAATAAATGATTGCCATTATTTTAAACATTTGACAGCCCCAATGTTTTGCATAGATGTATTTAGTATTGTGGTTAGTGTATTTAGTTGCTCTGGTAATGCGTTAGGTCCCTAACTTTACAGTAAGGTTAACTAACAAGGAGCTATATAACTTTTTTTGTTGTTGTTAATTAGTTAATAAAAAATGCAGCTGTTTATAATATTTGATGTTAGCTTAGGTCCATTAAATAACAGATACAGGTAGTTTAAATAACTAATATTAAATATAGGAAATATTAAAATTAACGTTAATACATGCTTTAGAAGTATTTTTCATTGTTCGTTTATAATGGCTAATGTTAACAAGTGAAATCTTATTGTAAAGTGTTACCATTGCTCTTTTATTACTTTGTAAATTCACTGGAATGCGTATGATTCACATAGAGTGCATGTCTGTTACATCTAAATGTATAGCAGTGGTCTGTGGTTATGGTGCCTAGGCCTATGGCCGGTCTGTCACTGTCTAAAGTGGGAGGTATAATACTTTAATGTTAAACTTTCTAACAAGGGAAGGACGGAGAATGCAATGACCTCAGATAGCTTCGTGCAGCTGCTGTTTTCAGCAAACATGAAGAGATAATCACAGAGTTTTATGGGAGCTGAGATGAAAGACAAGACAAGGAGACCGAAGCCCTCCTACATGGTGTTTAAATTGTCCACTTTTATGGCACTTGTTTGTCCTTTTTGGAGCTTGACAGTCCTTGCTTACCATCTACTTTGGTTGTGTGGAGCAGCTTGAGCATTTTGCTAAATAATGTAATGTATGCAGAGTCAATTTTACTGGTAAAAGTCAATGTAGCCAAAAACATACTCAACCTTCCATATTTAATTGGACTGAAGTATTTAAAAATACTGTGGTCTGACACAGCCATGGACCTGGAACCTGTCACCTGAAATGGTTAAACATTTACATTCAGCAGCTGATTTTACAGTTGATTAACATATTAATAATATTTATGGACCGATCATCTGCCATGTTCATACTTATGACTGTAGTTGACTGGTGAGATATTTGTGAAGTGTTGTAGTTTAACTACCTTTTTAATAGAAATGTAATGTAGTTTAAAAAACGCATAATTTACCCCACAGAATTCTTAGTCACAATGTAACAGAAGTAACACAAAAGAAGATATTTTGAAGAATGTTGGTGTCCAAATGGTTTCAGTTCCCATTGAGTTCCACTGTACATAGACAATACAAAGAAAGAATGCAAGAATACAAGTCAAGGGAACTGAAACTCTTTGGTTAGCACCATTCTTCAAAATATCATCTTTTTTTTGTTTGTGAACTATTCCTTTAATGATTGGAGAAATCCGGTGTACGTCACCAGAGAGAAGACTGTCATTTCACTGTAAAATATTTTGATTAAAATGTAAAAATGCAACGCATGCATGGATTAATTGTTCTCAATCATTAAGATGCCAAACCATTTAGAAAATGGGCTGAATTTCCATTTCATGCCAACTTTAAGTATAGTAATGATGCACAATTACAACCCTGTAAGTTTAAAATGACATGAGATTGGGTAAATGATGAAATTGTCCACTTTAACCTTGAAGTCAGCTATTTCTAGGATTGCAAAAAGGTGGAAAATTTCCAGTAAATTTCGGAAACATTCCAGAAATTTGGGAAACTTTCCAGGATTTTTTGGAATATTCCAGGGATTTTTGTAAAGTTTCCGGTAATTTACCGGAAATTTTCCACCCTTTTGCAACCCTAGTTATTTCTTACATAGGCTGTCTGGATTAGATGTTACTTTGGAAATGCATGTCATTTATTTAGTAGGTATTACCATGATGCTAATATGTTAAAGAAAGAATAAGTCCTAAAGCATGCTTTCCTTGTTCACAGCGATTTCCGGCATTGGTGTCCCCGAATGGATCGAGTTTATTGCTGTGTGGTTACCAACCTCCAATGGCTTCCTCAATTGTATCTTCTACTTCTGGATCAACCATAGCTTTAGAAGGAAATTCCATTTGGTTCTTCAGAAACTATGTCTAGGACTTTGTCCAGGTTCTGACACTGATTCAAGCTGCGTCAACTCTGTAGAATCCTCCGTGGTTCCCGGATGGAACGGTAACAGCTCGCTCCATGAGCGGTTTCCTAGCGTGTCGTCCACCTGCACTCTGCTGACGCTCATGCCACCGCAGACCAGCGTGCGTCAACCAGAGCCGGCTTGAGATTCCTTTTAGTCTTGTGATCTGAAGTTTTAAAGCTCTGGTGAAGTTGAGTCATCATGAGTGCTACTGACATGTCATTAACCTGCTCGGACGGAGGTTATTCCACTAAATGTCTTGTTAATCGCAAGTTAGCATTCAGAAACACTCCTATTTCCCTTGTTTAATAGCTATTTGTGCCTTTTTACTTCTTGATGGCACCTTCTCATATTCACTCAGAACTGTTTTTTTTGGCCTAATTGAAGTTTTAAATGGTTTTGCATTGTTGATTGCCGTTTCAAGTTAAACACACGAGAGCCTTTGAAACATTTGCACACATTTCCTTATCTATTCATAAACCCAATATCAAGCAGCTGTGGAAGTTTAACCTTCAAATCTCAGTTATGTAGTTTATGCAGAAGGGGAAGTAATTAGCCAGGTACATAATGTAAAGGTCAGATCAAATATGCCTTTTGGCTTTAACCTTTTCCGTTTCATGACATTTCCATTGCATCTCTGAAGCAAACATTAATCTTTATTTTCAACTAAGTAGGCTTTTTGGTCACTGTCAGACATAGAGGAACATTGTACGACCAGCATTATCAAACTGTAAATAAACCATATGGGTGGGCTACGACGGACTGGCACGAATGTTGGATTGAAGCTGTCATGCTCAGAGGTTGAAGCTTTGTGCATCATTTTGGCTGTATTGTAATAGCATTACTGTAAATCTAGATTTTAAGCTTTAAGTTTTAGCTTAAGTACTTGTTACAAAAATAGTACATTTCAATGGGGTGAAAAAAAAAAGTCCTGTGGTGGAGGGTGCATATAAAGCAAGCACATAAAGAGCTGTTAATGACCTGGGAGTGTTATACAGCCATACATTATGATTGATTACAAAAGTTTTTGATGTGTAAATAATTAAATTTTTTATATGTGGTTTATAAAAGTGTTTAAATGAAATGTTAAAACTTCAGTTTGTTGTAAAATAAAGCGTCAAAGCCTATTTACTATTTAAAGCATCACTGTTTGTTTTGGCTGTTTGGTTGACTTTAAAAGATTCAGGACTTGCTGAAGTTGTAAATCATCTTTTGGTAGACGAAGAATAAACCTGTTCCTGTGTGAAAACCCACACATGAGCAGTCAGACATGTAGCTTGACGTGAGGTTCTCTTTGACAGAGCAGGACTCCATTCTGCTCTGCTCACATATGCTTCATGAAGATGACATTTGTAGTGGTTAATGTTGACAATAAACCTTGTGGGCTTGATACAGTATGTAAGGGATGTGCCGAAGTTTGTAGATGTTCCCACATCCCATATAAAGAAACTATATGCTGCATTTTTGTGGGCAGTTTACTTTTTACAGCTCAGGGGGGCATTTATTTATGTTTAATGGGAGAGCTGAAGCTCATGCTGGGCAAATATGTGATAAATATAGCTCTCTGGTGTTTGTATAATGACTGTGAAACAATATATTTGCTTGTTTCCTGTGTAAACCTTGTTGGGGTTTTGATTCAAGGGGTCATAGTTACCATGCACAAGTTCAGGGGTTCTCAAACTGTGGTCTGCGACAATAGGGATTTGCAAAATGTGAAATATTTTAGGCCTTTAAAATGTTAATTTTTTTTTAACCTTTAGAAGGGATAGTTCACTCAAAATTAAAATTTGTAATTTACTCACTCTCAAGTTGTTCCAAACCGTTTTAAGTTTTTTTTCTTTTTCTTTTTTTAGCACAAAAGATATTTTGAAGAATGTGGGTAAATAAACAGTTGACAGTAGTTATAATATAGAAAAAAATACTGTGGAAGTCAATGGCTACCGGGAACTGTTTGGTTGCAACATTCTTCAAAATGTGTTTTTATGTTCAACAGAAGAAAGAAACTCATACAGGTTTGGAACAAGTGGAGGGTGAGCAAACCGACAATTTTCATTTTTGGGTGAACCATCCTTTTAATGAATTTGATATTGCAGTTTAATTTTTCATTCTTCTTTCAAAATATGGAAATAATTACATTTTAATTATTTTATTGACAGCCATGTTTTATTGTATTTTTTTAATTTATATGAATTATGTATTTTTATTATTCTCGCCATATAGAGTCATCTTTAGACTGCTAACTTCACTTTATAAAATCCAAAATTCTCTCAAACATTATAAATGGACCTCGTGCATGGGGAGAGAGAGAGAGAAAAAAGATAATTTTTAAGGGTCCTTGGCATCATCATTTTGAAATTCCCTGGTCTTTTTTTTTTTATCACGTTTGACCATATAAGCTCCATCTCACCTCCCAAAAACTTGCATACATACCCCCAAGGGCTATAGAAAACAGACCTCATTAAGGCTGCAGCATATAAAATAAACTTTCTTATTTGTGATGTGGGAACATCAGCTGTGAACCTCAGTGCTACCTCAGCATCTTCTGTCGTGCTGCAGGAGATCGGATCAATTCAGCTCTTCTCTCGTGCTTTGTAATGGAGAAAAATGAGGAGTATGTAGTCTCACCTAAATACTATTATGGTGGCCATATCAAATCAGCTTCCAGCATCCTTGTTTTGAGTTTAAGAGTTAAATCTGCATAGGTCAATAAAGACTGTTTTGCACCTTCTGATCTGTTCAGCTGCATAGAAAAGTAGTGTTGAGTTTAACAAGACCATCACATGAGACTGATTAAACCAGCTTCTTAACAGCAAATCTACACTAATGCACAAGTATAGGAAGCTACTGTACAGCGACACCTTTGGGGGTTGTTGAAGTGCTGCTAATGTGAAACTGATTTTTAAAAACACCTCGTGTGGTTCAGCTGCTAGCTGGGCAGTGACTTTGTAGCTGTTTGTTGTCATGGTGGAAGCCCTTATGCCATTTGGAGTTGCTGCAGACCACCAAACAGACACTCAGATGCTGTCACCTTCTAATCAGCAAGAACAATGAAGGAGATGCTTGCTCATTTACCGTTGTGTTGAGAATTGATCAGATTCTACTATAAAATCTGTGTACACACACACACACACACAAAAGAAACTCATACAGGTTTGGAACAAGTGGAGGGTGAGCAAACCGACAATTTTCATTTTTGGGTGAACCATCCTTTTAATGAATTTGATATTGCAGTTTAATTTTTCATTCTTCTTTCAAAATATGGAAATAATTACATTTTAATTATTTTATTGACAGCCATGTTTTATTGTATTTTTTTAATTTATATGAATTATGTATTTTTATTATTCTCGCCATATAGAGTCATCTTTAGACTGCTAACTTCACTTTATAAAATCCAAAATTCTCTCAAACATTATAAATGGACCTCGTGCATGGGGAGAGAGAGAGAGAAAAAAGATAATTTTTAAGGGTCCTTGGCATCATCATTTTGAAATTCCCTGGTCTTTTTTTTTTTATCACGTTTGACCATATAAGCTCCATCTCACCTCCCAAAAACTTGCATACATACCCCCAAGGGCTATAGAAAACAGACCTCATTAAGGCTGCAGCATATAAAATAAACTTTCTTATTTGTGATGTGGGAACATCAGCTGTGAACCTCAGTGCTACCTCAGCATCTTCTGTCGTGCTGCAGGAGATCGGATCAATTCAGCTCTTCTCTCGTGCTTTGTAATGGAGAAAAATGAGGAGTATGTAGTCTCACCTAAATACTATTATGGTGGCCATATCAAATCAGCTTCCAGCATCCTTGTTTTGAGTTTAAGAGTTAAATCTGCATAGGTCAATAAAGACTGTTTTGCACCTTCTGATCTGTTCAGCTGCATAGAAAAGTAGTGTTGAGTTTAACAAGACCATCACATGAGACTGATTAAACCAGCTTCTTAACAGCAAATCTACACTAATGCACAAGTATAGGAAGCTACTGTACAGCGACACCTTTGGGGGTTGTTGAAGTGCTGCTAATGTGAAACTGATTTTTAAAAACACCTCGTGTGGTTCAGCTGCTAGCTGGGCAGTGACTTTGTAGCTGTTTGTTGTCATGGTGGAAGCCCTTATGCCATTTGGAGTTGCTGCAGACCACCAAACAGACACTCAGATGCTGTCACCTTCTAATCAGCAAGAACAATGAAGGAGATGCTTGCTCATTTACCGTTGTGTTGAGAATTGATCAGCATCTAAACGAACCTGTAATTACACACACACACACACACACACACACACACACACACACACACACACACAATAAATGCAATACACACATGCAATAAACCAGTAAATTGTTCTAAATAAGGTCAAGAACTTAAAAGAGATACTTCACCCACAAACATAATTTCTGTCATCATTTACTCACCCTTATGTTGTTACAAACTTGTATGACTTGCTATCTTATATGGAACATTAAAGATGGAATGACATGAGAGTGGATTTTCATAAATTCTTTGTTGAGGGGTGCTGAAAGGTTAATGCTCTATTGTGTTTTAAAGCAACATACCACCTACACTAAACCCTTGAGATAACACAAACTTGAGATAAAAACACATTTTATGACAGAACCATGTCATTGTAGCTTGCTTGTACAAGTCTTTGAGCTTTTATCACAAAATGTGTTTTACTGAACTCGTACCCGAGTGCTTCACATTACAAGTACAATGCTGTATCAGGTGGGCTACCGAGCAAGTTTACTTTGTCAGAAAAGCCGTACATATGGAGCTGGTTATGTGACGCAAACATCAAAATGTGTTTGTTTAGTATCGTGCAAGGAATTGAGTGAAAGTAAATCTATTAATTAATAATCTGCATTTGTAACCATAACTTGTGTGAAAGGAATAAAAGTTGTTGGTGTTTTTCTCCCACTAGTGTTCATTTCAGCCGGAAACTGCAGTGAATTGTGGGCCTATGTATAGTTATATTTTTGGAGTTTTGCAAAAATGTAGGTCAGGGGTTTTGCAAAAATATAGAGTTACTGAACAGTCAAATAACACTTCATAACATAATCACCGTGACAGCTCATCAAAATTCAGGATTATTTGAGATTTAGCCATGTGTAGTGGCATCTGATAGCTTCATCTGTGCCAGCTGGACCTGCCAAAGCAGGATTCTAATTATACTGATTGTAATGAGAGCGTCTTTTTACGTTCTCATCATTATATATCTCTTTAAAAACATGGCCATTGCTAGACCATGTTTAGGGGGATTTCAGCTGTCCCTCGTCTTTTATCTCAGCTCTCCGAAAAATCTGTGATTCTATGAATATTATTTCTTATTACCAGATACAGTGGTTGCAGCAACCATGCTTTTAGAAAATTTCACAATAAATACTCCCCTTTCCAGCCACAGACTAACTTAAAAAAAAAATGTTTCTCTCCTTTTGATGGCAGATGCAACATACTGTATTTGCTTAGAGCAGCAAGTCTTCTTCTCTGTTCCCTGATCGCCAG